GACGACGACGACGACGACGACGATGACGACATCCTCAGCTTGATGAGACTGTCGGAGGCGCAAATCAACAAATTGAGCGATGAAGACGAAGAAGTCGATGACGAAAGCATCTACACGTATCTCAAGGCCATGAACACTCTGGGCCACGCTTCACTTGTGCGATCCGATAAGGTGAACCAGTCGACTTTGGACCTCGTGCAAGGCTTGTTGCTTGACTGCATCGAGTCGATTAAGGTAATTCAGCATCTCCAGACCTTATCAGCTTTTTTCAATTTCACAATCAACTTTGTTTTTATAATTTACAAATTTTTTTTTTCATCATCGTTGCTTGAAATTATTTTGAAGTATCAACTTTGTTTGAAAAAAAAAAAATTACTTTTTGTTTAAACTAACTTAAGATGTCGGAAGGACAATTGGAGAAATTCAAGGCAGTAGGGATCGTCCTCTTGGGACAACAAGCTCTGAAGAATCGAGAATTTGCCGAGCAAGTGGTGCCGATTTTGGGCCGGTTGATACTCCAAACTGACAGCAAAAGCGGCACTCCAGAATCCTCGGGACGGTCGGTTATTCGCATAAACGCTGTGAAAACTCTGGCCGATCTGTGCGTCAGATACACCGCCCTGGTCGAGCCTTTCTTGCCCGACATGTGTGTAACGATGAAGGACACCGACCCCATGGTACGCGAGACAATCGTTGTTATATTTGTGCAACTGCTTCTCGAAGAATTCATCAAAGTAAAGGGTGCCTTTTTTTATCACATACTGACCATGCTGTCGGATAGCGACGAGACGATAAGAGAGCTGACGGTTTATCTTATAAAGGAGAGATTGCTGGCAAAAAATAAGTCGTTGGTATCACAATCTTTCATCAAAGGCATCTTCCATTACAACAACTGTAAGCTCAAGCATAAATTCCATGAAAGAAAAATTAGGGAAAAGGAACGGAATGTCTTGTTGTTGCCCGGCAAGAAGAACGAAAGCCGGCGAAGGATAATTTATGATTTTATGCTGGAGCATCTCGATCCACCGAGTAAGTTGAAAATTTTGATGAAACTCAATGCAGAGATTTTCGAGGGGGCGTGCGAAAAGTTCATCGACGTGAAGCAGATTGAAGGCGCGTGTGTCGTGAAGGACGTTATCTACATAGTGTCGAACGATCGGATGCAGGCATCGTCCACGTCGTTCCAGGACGACGACATGCACGAAGATGTTGCCGCTGCTGTCGAGAATCAAATTAACCAAGCAGTTAACGTGATAGCCGAAGGCATGAAGAAGTTTAAGTTTCAGATCATGACGCAGACGTTGATGAAACTGCGGCAGTTTTTGATTCAAAATAAATCACCCGGTCTGCTGGTGGACGTTTCAAAACTATTGAGTAAACTCCTATCAGAATTCAATAAAGACCAAATCTCAGAGATACTCGATGAGTATCCCGACTTGAGGAGGGACATTGATCGTGATATCAGGTAAGATTTTACAGGCGATTTTCGATAGGGCCATTTTTTATCTCTGTGTGGCTAATTTTACATTGTTATATTGCAGTATGAGTAATGATATGACAGACGACAGTGATTCTGATTCGAGTGAAGAACAGTCCTCTGGGAAAAAGGCTCTCGAAATCACAGATGTCAGTAACGCGGAAGAGCAGTTGAGTGACGATGTAGCAAAAAAAGTTTCCCAGGAAACAGTGGCCACGGAGCCACTAAAAACCCCAAAAGCTACACCGAGAAAAATTTGCGAAGTCAGCTTGACCGGTATGCCACGAATGGTTTTACGTAGATTTTCCGCTCTAACGTATCCTGGTGTACAGGCATGGAAAAGTCCATCCCACAGCACTATCGCTACGATCTCCGAGCTGGAGCCATCCAACAAAAGTACTTTAGATGAAACTAACATGTGCGTCGACGACTTGTCCGACTCGGAGTCAATTCAAAAGCCAAATAAAATAGCCAGATTAGCGGAATCCGTTGCGGACGTTACAATTTCGTGAAGGTATAAACGCTGGACAAATGTTGTTTCACGTGTATAAGTGCATGTGCTTTTCTTATCTCATACTTTAATCTCGATTCGTATACCCGTACGAGTGTACATAAAATTGTTATTTCTAGTAATGTAAATACTATGTTTAAAGCTATTTTTTAGTTTACAAGTGAAAAACTTAAAGTATCGTTAAATTTTTTTAATTTTATACCCAGCGCTCCAAGAGCATTTGTGAGAAATACGTTTATAAGTAATGAGAACCAATAACTACAAAACTCAACGTACCTACCTTTCAGTTTACCAGAAATCCTATGAGCTAATGCATTGATGGCTTGGGTTCGAGTTCTAAGTTCGTTTTCAATATCTGTAAGTACAATACCATTAAACCACGAGCAATTTAATTAAGAAGAAAGTTTCAAATCACCTCGATTTGTGTGCATCGACAACGCCTCATTTTGAATACTTTTTACAATAACGACACTTTTAATCATCGTGTCGATAAGCTCCCGTGTCTCTTCAACCTAATAATAGCCGATTTGTCATTAAATTTGTCGTAAATCACACGAAACAAAAAAATACAACACTTACTTGCTCCAATAATTCGTGAATCCTTTTGTTATGTGTGATCTGTTTGTGAACGTTTCTTAGAAAACTGTTGCTTGGCATCAAACTCTTCTTCCTTATCTTGGAGAAAAAAAAAAAAAATTAGTTTAAACAATTCACACGATTTGGCGCTTCGCCTACTAAATATGCCTCGATCAGCAATTAAAACAATATTTTAAATATGCAACACTAAAAACTTACTGCACATAAATCGGGCATGCGATCCCGCGTCATGTTTGTGTATATTTTGTCAGTGATGACTAGCGCGTGTATTAAAAATGACGTTAACGTCGTTGTCGGACAAAGACTAACGAAACGCTTCTCCTCGGAAGCGCGGCTCAGTTGGGCCGGCAGCACCTGTACCCACTTTTTACCACCACTACATCTTTCTTATCAGTTCACCGGCGGTTATTGATAAAACGCGCAAGATAATAGCTAGCGTGATAACAGTATGTCTTTCTAGGTGCGTGTATGATTTCTTTTTTTGTTGTTTTGTTTTCTCTATTTTCTTTGAGGCTCTAGCTCGTACCGTATTGTATCCTTGTTGTATGACAAAATGTACCGAATATGCGAGACGAAAATCGGTAAAGCGCTCTGCCTGTAAAGTGTAACAACATATATATTGTGTAATTGCAATTGTGGCTGGTGTGTGGGTTTTAATACCGGCGAATTCAAACTGCTGTTTCTGTGACACACTTTTCGCGCGCGCACGGCGGCAGTTTCATTTGTGACGTTCATATGCTATATCATGCGCTTTGCATCTGAAATAGGAAAAGGAAGCTACCACTTGTGGCCAAACTCTATCAAGCGGCACGAGCAAACGTCTTGTATATCATGTACATGTGCTGTGTACGTATTTTTCTTTGATTGTGACAGGTGTCTTTTGTACAATCGTTCCTATTTAGATTTGAACTGTTTTTTTTTTGTAATTTTAAGGCTTTAACAACGCTTAACGCTGTGCCTGCCTGCATTTTTCAGCACAGATTAAGTATCTGAGACTTTTTGAGGACTGTTTTTTTTGTTTCGTACGCCAACGTAGTACGAATGCCGAGTCAATATTTTTTTGTTTTTCTATAAATGTATATCATGTCAAATTTTATTTGCAGTCAAATTAATGTTAATTAATATATATTTTGTACTTAGATATAATTATACGTATTCGTTTATTTAACAGTTGTGTGTATATTTTTATTTTTGTCTAAAATGAAAATATTAAACTTGAAAAACAATTGATTGAATTAGATAATTCAAAGTTTCAACTACTTACCTTTCTGAGTTTCTTTCTTTGTTTATCTTTTTTCAAAAGTTTATCTCTACCACCGTCAACGTCATCGGTAGCTCTGTTTGCAAACTTTTCAACGCAATCCACTTGATCGCCCTATGAATAGTAAATTGTTTTAGGATGGTTATTATGAATGGTGAATAATTTTTGTGAATCAATTTGCACTTACTTGTTGTTCAACTAAAAAAGCCATTTCAAGGAATATATCCTTGACCTCGGTAACAGATTTCTCCAATTTTTGTAGTTCATCATGTCTTGTTTGTATATCTGACAGTTGTTGTTGCGCAATCTTAGTTTCTTTTAATATCTATAAACATCTTGTTTTACAAGCACCCAAGAGATATATGTTTTGTTACGTATAAAAAAAAAAAAAATTACTCACATTATCTACAAATAGACTAGTTTCCTGTGAATCTAGCAAATCTTCTAGTTCCTCGCTGGTAATCTGTTTCCTCACTGACAACAATTATCAATCAAACTATGAGACATAATTATTAATTGTACTTGAAAAACTACGAGTTGTAATTTTTTTACCTAAACGTCTCTGCTGTTGCAAAAGTGACGAACGTTTTTCGTGATACCGCAACATATTTTCATTATAATCTTGCATTGCATCAGAATACATGTTGTACATCGTTGCATACTGTAAATTCTTTATTCTGTGGTAAACCGATCCTTCTTGGGTAAGTTTAAGTGCGACATCTTCGACATTTGTAGCGTCTTTTCTTAATTCTACGGAATGAATTCATCATGTAACGTCAAATTTTTCTAATAAGTAATTATACAAGTAATTGTACTGTTTGAGAAAATTGAGATGGGTAAGTACACGGTAGGATCGCTGCCAAGTCAAAATATTGGCGGAGTTTTAGAATAACAGTGTATACTTAGTGGTACAAACAACACAAAAAACACACATTTTTGGAACTGAAAAGTTACTAGAACCATATATCTAGAGAGTGCTCTCTTTCCACTAGCGTACTCCCCGCCATCTTGGTTGTTTGTTATCATGATGATTAGGATTAGCGGAACATTTTATTGTTGTGGAAGAACAGGGATGATAACACTGATAACACGCAAGTTATGTTTAACTTTAGTGAAATCGTCGTTCCTTGGCCGCGCTACCCGCGTTCGTGAAAAATGATGATTTCTGATATGACCTGACAGAAAATTCATCATGGATCCCTTGCAGGTATTTGATAATTTTAAACTCGACACTTTGGACGAAAAGTGGAGCGATGAGGTCTGGGAAAGAGAGTTTTTGTCGTTTCCTGAGCCCCCGGCGGACTACTCTATTATTTTGGGTAGCCAAGATATGGAACAATTTTTGAGAGAAACTAGCAGTACCTTGAAACAGTGGATATCCCAGAACAAGGATGATGATGAGTTGAGCAAAGAAAGGTCTGAGGTTTCATGGCAGACCATTACAGCACTTGAAATTAATATAAGAGGATTGCTCGCTGTTTTGGGGTATCTGATGAAAACAGGTCAAGCTACAAGTGCCGACGAGGATGACAGGCAAGCATGTCTGGCCTCTACGAGTTTGTACTTTGTTTTGCTAAGTGTACCAGACAGTAGTACGTTTTATGTCTTTCATCCAAACTTGTATCACCGGGCATTAGAGACTTTGAAGTTGAGTGAACTCTTGGTGATGTGCAAAAGGACTCAGAAAACCACAGAGTCAGGAAATTCCAGTGGTGAACAGTTTCAGGACATATCGACGGGTGAAAGGTGCAGTTTGACGGAAGGCTTGAACAGCGTCATGTACGATCTGATAACCTTGCTGCAAACTTTTTGCATGAAGTTTCAGTTGAGATCGTTGGAAATAACTGTGATAATTTTTGTGGAAGTGACCAAGTTGGGTACAGAGGTCAATCATTTTGTGGCAAACCACAGTAAAAAACTTGCTACCCAAGAAGCTTCAATCACCACTCTAGTTAACAATGCTTATGTTGCCTTGCAATCTCTCATTGAACCAAGGCACGGAACTGAAGAAATTACCATTAAAATGATCATGAAATGTTTGATGCCTCACCTGTGTCCTCATCTTCTGGATTTACCGACCAGAGCAGCCAACGTAATTTGGGACACGACAATGTGTTTTTTGAAAACCATATTATGTACAAAAAAGAATAGTGCCAAACAAGGCATGGAAATATTAATCCAGCACTTGTTAGTCAATTGCCCGGATAGATCGGAGCCCCGACAAAAGCAGGCTGGCATTATTGCTAAATTAATAAACATTTGTCAAGAAGAGCTCTACCTTACCTGTATTAAGAACGTTGTATTGTTTTCTTTTTACAACAAAATTCCTTTCAGAGTATTCGGTCAAGAAGTCACGTCCAAACTACTGGCTGAAATGGCATTTAATTTTGAGTCGGAGGACGAAGTAAGAAACCGAAAAAGAGCCAAAATGGCCCTCATTGCTGTAGTACACAGCCGTACGATCGACGTTTCCAGCATGGTAAGAGGCAAGTCACTGTCAACTATAGAGTCAATGATAAGCTGCGAAGACTTTGCACTCGGTGATTTCTTGAACACGTCGGAAGAAGATCAACCCTTTCCAAAGCTCGATGCTATTCTGGCGGCCTTATCAGGGGGTTCGAATCCTCTTCCAGGGCCAAACGCCTTCATGTCACGTCTCCTTGAGAGGATGAAAGACGAGCGTGCACTTGTGAGGCGCAGCACCCTCCACGTGCTCCAGTACCTGGTGCCCTATTTCCCAGCATTGTTCGACAAAGTGGCGCCTATCATCGGCCTCCACTGCAGAGATCCAGCTCTGAGCGTGCGCCGGGAGGCCATCAACGCACTGGCCTGCCTCTTGCATAGCAATCCTCTGAACGAAACGCTTCTACGCGAGTACATTAAATCTGTACTGCCCAGGATTTACGACGTCGAAGTCAAAGTCCAGGAGAGTGTTTTGGAGTCGTTGCAGAATCTCGTCCTTAACGAGATTAGTGAGTTTAGCAGTACCGACGAAGACGGGATGAACGAGCCGGGGTACCATTTGCCATGGAACGTGTTAAGGGCGCTGACGCAGCTGAAGATGAGAAAGAACTTGTCGAAAATCTGTGATAGCTGGGTAAAAAATAAGGTCATCACGGACTCGATGATCGGTAGGATACAGTCGCACCTTGGCACGTTGCACAATGAGGAGGCCTGGGTGCTCCTGCTGGCCCTCGCGGATAAAGTGGCCCTGCCCAACATGAGACAGTACTTTGAGGATTTTGAGGAAGTGCTGGCGGGTGACGAGTTCGTCAATATTATCAAACTCGAGGTGCTGAGGTTCTCGTGGCAGAATATGGACAACGAATACCTGGAGAGTTTTTCGAAGCGGTGTTTCGACTGTCTCTGCAGATTTGGCGTGCCCATCGAGTCCATCGGCACTTGTATCGATATTTTGGACTGTATGGAAAAGTATTTGAAGAAGAAGAAGGATGGAAAAGGCGATGATGGTGACGACGACGACGACGACGACGACGATGACGACATCCTCAGCTTGATGAGACTGTCGGAGGCGCAAATCAACAAATTGAGCGATGAAGACGAAGAAGT